GGGGCCTGATAATAAAACTATGGGGGGGTTCAGGGGGGCATGAATTTTACTATAATTTGTTTGAAGTTGTTAGGTTTGATATCTTAGCTCGCTGTGCATCAAACGTATAGATCTAGATATATAGGCTCAAATAAGGGGGGTGGGAACTACCGAGAAAGCACCAAATAGTCTAGAACTGTAGAAAATGGACACCAGGTAGCTAAGTGTGAGACAGGAGAGAAAGAAAAAGAATAGGCCACCTCTATTCTCACCCCGGGTGAGAATAGCACAGGTGAGTCTTTTGACTATTCTCACCCGGCGTGTGTTCACCGTTATAGCCTAGATCTAGGCCAACCAATTTTGCGTTCATCATGAACCACAGAATTTTACACTGTGATAACAGAAAAATTATAGAATTCTGTGCTGTGAGCTTCGTTCCATTACTACTGTTAATGTTAGCCTAAAAGAGTACAATTTTGTCTGTGGGCAGTGGTGAGAGAGAGAGAAAGAGAGAGAGAGGAGTAGCGCGAGAATTTCAGGGCAAAACAAAATGGCGATCTGCGGCGTAATTTGGCTCGATTCGAAAATTTAAATATAGCTGTAGCAATGACAATGAAAAATTAAATTTTCATCCAAATTGCTTAAAAATGGGCTTAAATGAAAATACAATAAATTCTAAAACTATGGTTTTTAAATTTTTAAAATCCATCGACAAATAAAAAAGTAATTGGGATTTTTGTTTGCAAAATGTTGGAGGACCTTCAAATAGGATAGGAAAATATCGCGCACAGATATGACAGGTGCAAGAAAGTTGTTAGTACACTGTACACCATTTAAAGGTTAGTAAAATCATTTCTTTATCAAATTATGATTAAAACAATTATCTTAATAACAGAGGGTACACAGACAAGTGGTCGTGGGTTGGGCCAGCTACTCTGGTAACTGAAGAAAACTTATCTAAAAATGTTTCTGATAAGCCTTTCACTTCGAACTCGACTGCTGCACTAGCAGACGACTGATGTTCTCGGAAAAGGATCGACCAAAAGTGGAACTAGACAAGGCACGTAACTCTAATAAAACAGATTGCACACGAGCAGCAAAGAAAGAAAAATGGGGAACTGGTAGCGCTCAGGGCGAATGAATGAGTGAAAGTGAAAGAGAGGAACGACTCATGAGTCCTGGAGGGAATGGATCCTGTGTTTTTATTTTTGTATACTTTGAACTGTTACTGAATAAAAAGGCTGAAATAAAGCCCGAAAAACAAACACACACACGCTCCTCACTCTCCACTTACACACTTACTACCACACACAGACACACTCACACACGCACATGCATACACACACACACACACACACACACACACGAGCAAATTTTTAGGTCTATATCTACATGTATTTCAATTTTCAAGAGCTAGTCTAGAGATTTTTAGATGAGTAAAAACGTGAAAAAGAAAGGTTTCACGATCGAATAAAATCAAAATTAGAACAGCCCATAAACAACCACAAAAATAAACAAATAAGGGCGTGAGTCCACCTGTCCGAAGAAGATTGGCTGTTTTAACCCTAAATATGCGCAATTTTAAAACAAAGTACAGGATATTACATGTAAATTATGGAATCACACACATTAAGGGGCCTGCCAGAGTCAGTACACGTAGATCTAATTGGTTTTGGTGGAACGAATGCTCTAACATAACACATTTAAATCTGTATATATTTAGAATCTAATGAAAGTAGGAACATCAAATTAAATGACGTTACACTATACAACGTCCCCCCCCCCCCCACCCACCCCTTTTCCCCCCCAAAAAAATGATAGAAAAACAACACATCAGAACAATAACAAGAAAGAAAAAAATACACACTAAGTTAACAAAATAAAACACCACAAAGAGGGAAAAATAAAAGTAACTGGAACGTATTCAACAAATCAACGTGGTGACAACAAGTGAGAAAGAGACGAAGTGAAGCTAGATGAACTTTCTTTCAAAAGTAAAGAGGTTCGGTTTATTTCTTTTTAAATTTTTTTTTAAATTTGACTTTTATTCCCCGATTCGGGGACCAAAAATGCCCAAAAATCGAGCCACGATTGATTGGTCGCGGCCGCGACAAACGCAGATGCTAGTTCTATGTGACGTTATCAATAACCCTCCGTAGATCTAGATCTAGATCTAGACAGCACCCGAGTGAACACAACACATTCATTAGTAGGTTTAAGAGCAGCACCCTTCATAGGCAACACGTCATATCTGTAGCCTGTAGCGAAAAACCGTTTGGAACTGTAGCATTTCTTTATACGAATATTTACTGCGGACATTTTTTGGACCGATTGAACCATCCATATTGTATACAAACAATCTTTGGTAGGCCTAGATCTATACTATAATTATAGATCTAGATCTAGATCTAGATCTAGATAGATCTATATAATATCCGAAATTTGCGGGAAAGGATGTGATTTCAGAGTGTTCGGAGAAATAGTGCCCAGCTTTATTTTCCCAAACGTTCGGAGAAATAGTGCCTAGATCTAGCTTTATTTTCCCGTACGTTTGGAGAAATAGTGCCTAGCTTTATTTTCCCGAACGTTCGGAGAAATAGTGCCGGCCTTTGTATAATCTAGAATATATCTAGAATCTAGATTACCTAGATCTAGATCTAGATCTAGATTCTATTTGTAAATTTAAGGCCTCTTCTTTATTGTGTTTGATGGGGTGGTCGCTCGTTACGGAAGTCCTTCCATTTATTCGTGTTGATTCTTCACGCAATGGTATCTGAATTCCACTGCACCTACTTCACTCTCAAAACACTGCACAGACAACTTAGAATCTAGATCTTAAATCTAGAATTCTACTTCACTCTCAAAATAAATACAGACAGGTCCTAGCAGCAAGCAAGGTTTAAGAACATAAAGTCTCCCGCTAAGAGAACAAATAACAGAAGAAAAAAAGGATGCTCACAACAGAATATTTGTGGATCTAAGAGAAAACTCACTACAAATATACTCAAGCTATAAACTGTGATAAATAGACGCCGACAGCGTTGGAAAAGAAAGGTCCACTGTAGGGAATGGGGATTGGGGAAACATGCTCCGGAAGTTCTTCAAAGGTCGCTTTATTTGAAGGACAGCAGATAAAGAAATAAAACAACAAACCGATTTTTTCAAATCAAATTATTGCTGATAAATGCTAATATAGCTCCTACACACTGTCCAATTGAAAAATTTTTGTGTATGATCAAATTGAAGTAGCCTATTGATTAGATTTTTCCGTACAAGACCGGAAATGTCTTCATTACGTCCATTCCTATCCCGCAGTCAGTCAATCATGGCGTCGTCAAGTCTCGTGTGTAAAGTACACCCTGTGGTGTTTTTCAGCGTCATAGATGCTTACGAAAGGCGTAATGAAGATGCCAAAAGAGTTATTGGAACTTTATTAGGTAATTGTATTCCCTATCTGTTAACTGTATTGTGTAAGGAACGTACTGCCATTCAAAGCCACCTTGTCCATTGAGCATTCATCTCAATCGAAAACATTTCTTCAATATGGTCCCGGCAAAGCTGGGTCACGGGTCGGGTGAGTCTAAGACTCAGAGTAACTTTTAGAGGGCGGGAACGGATACCCATCGGTACAACTGTAGGCGATATCTGTACGTATCGGCACCAAGCGTCCAGTAGCGGTACATGGAAGGTGCCGACACCGTCCAAGAGGTACTGGCCCTGGGAAGGAACCAATTGTCCAATACCAAGTGATATGATACGTCACGAAGTGACTATTCGGACTCGAGTCCGAATATGAAAAAATGTTATTCGGACTCTGATTCTTGTCCAGCATGACATCACTTTCGACTGGCTGGATTGTACTTTACCGGACCACCCGTCTCGGTCCGTGATTACTACGCACACCTAGCCTAACTACGCTCTCATAGTCATAGTACTCTGCGTGCGGACAAAAGGTAGTTCCGCGGGCCGCGGGCGACTTCGCGCACGCACAGCGCAAGCCAGCGGCAACTGGCGAGGCGAGGTGAGCGAGAGTTGGTGGTTGAGAGTGGGCAGGGGATTTAACTTTGGTGAACCACCGTGTATCATACCAACAGTGGGGAGGGGGAGGGGGGTTCAGGGGGGCTTGCCCCCCTGGAAACTATAATAAAGAAAACACACAAAAATGCGAAACAATAACATGAGCGGACAGTCGTGTTTACATATCAATGTAACAACAGTGGGGGGAGGGGGGGTTTCAGGGGGGCTAGCCCCCCTGGCAACAATAATTTAAAGACACTGACACACACACTACATATTATAAACAATAACATGAGCGGACAATCGGGGTAGATTCGCCAAGTCGCGAGCAGGGCCGAGGGGGTTGCAATTATGCAAATGAGCTCTCGTGTGCATCTTTAGCCCTCCATTGTACTTTGCCGGACCAGGAGTAGGCCTAGGCCACCCAGCAGAGTTGCGAGCAAATAAGAATAGTGGACCACGTGATAAGATTGACCAATTAGCCTCAGGATGTCAGGGTCATGGGTCAAAGGGCACGGTGGCACGGTCGTGATGACTGAAAAACCCGGTAAGAGACATCAGTCGATTGCTGGCAGTTGAAGAGTGAGGATGTAGAAAACTGAGTAGGAGAGTGAGTAGGGGAGCTCGGAAACGAAGAATAGCGGGCCACTAGGCACCAGGGGCGCCATAGCGAAAGTATTTCCGACCGGTGGTCCGGTAAAGTACAATCTTACCCCTGACGTCCTGTGACTCGTGACTCCGGCTTCCTGTCCTGCCTCACTCGTGACTCGCCTCAGGCTGGGTAGAGACCGGGATCACTTCGGGCAAAATGGCGTTAAATTGTGCAGGAGCCGAGTTTTTATCTTATATGATGAATTTGAGGCCGGCCTGAAAAGTTATAGCGCTTTTGGTGCTTTTTCGGTAGTTCCCACCCCCCTTATTTGAGCCTGACCTACATCTAGATCTAGATCTATACGTTTGATTCGCGGTGAGCTAAGCAGATATCAAACCTAACAACTGCAAAACATTAAATTATGGTAAAATTCAGGGGGGGCATGCCCCCCTGAAACCCCCCTCCCTATTTTTATGAGGTCAGCCTGAAACCCCCCTACTCTTGTGGCCCAAACCCGTGAATAAAATTGCGGGGTGGGAACTACCGAAAAAGCGCTGTGCTTTTAATAAATATTTGGGAGTGTATACAGACCCGGTAACCGGGAACAAAGTCACGAAGTATACAGACCCGGTAGGGGAACTCTTTTGTGAATTCGGAAAGTTTCAGCGCCCTCTTGGCTCAGGGTAGACCTAGACCTAGGTTCTTCTAGATCTAGATCTATGGCCTAGCCTAGGTCTAGATAGACAGACATAAATCATTGATCTAGTTTCGATGTTAGCCTAGATCTAGATCTAAATGAAGATTACGGATGTCTGTTCGATGAACGATCGTTTTTCCTCCGTTTTTGGACTTGGAGGAATCACAATTTGAAGAAAAGAACAATGTCATAATTTCAATCGAGCAGTCTCTCTCTCTACTCTCTCTCTCTCTCTCTCTCTCTCTCTCTCTCTCTCTCTCTGTATCGCTCGCTTTCTCTCTCTCTCTGTATCGCTCGCATTCTCTTTTTCTTTGTTTGTCTGTGTCTTTCTTTCTCCCCACCCATCTTTTTCTCGTTTCCTCATGTTAGCTGGGGCATGTCATATTTTGCTAGCACTTTCCCCTGCTCTCTCTCTCTCTCTCTCCTCACACACACACACACACACACACACTACCGGGTCTGGGCGCTGAAACTTTCCGACCTCACAAAAGAGTTCGTCTCTATACTTCGTGACTTTGTTCCAGGTTACCGGGTCTGTATACACTTCGTAAATATTTATTTGTCAAGATGTCATCAGAAGCAATTAAAGATGGCTCGTTAGCGTGTGTCGGGGTCGGATGGGCGGACTGCACACGTGTGGCTGTGTGTGCGTGTCGGGGAGGGGGAGGAGGCACTATCGGTCCGGGCGTTGAACGTCGCATACGCGTCAGTCTCCCCCCGGCAACAGATCATTATTACAATAATAAGCTAGTCTTGACGTAGATCTATGTAATAAATTGTGCGCTGGTCTATGGAATCAAAAGTTGCCGTGGCGTATGCTCGGCTCTACACAGCAACACTACTTTTTCTTGGTAAACAATCGAGATGACACAGGCTTGTGTATTTGAACGAATCAAGTCTTCTTATTTTTTTTACACAGCTCATAATGTGCCAGGTGGTCTTCTAATCTTCAATTTTACCTTTTTCTACAACAAAGAAAGTGGGAAACGTGGGGGGGTGGGCATATCAATTAGGCGGCGGGCATCGGATCGGCAGATAAGGTATGGGGAAACTAAAAAATGGCGGAAAATTGGAAGCACTGAATGTTAGATCTATAGAACGAAGACACTTCGTTTTTTCTGGACCCATGTCTGAATAACATTTTTTCATATTCAGACTCGAATCCGAATATGAAAAAATGTTATTCGGACTCGAGTCCGAATAATGACGGGCATCATGATAATGTTGGTGGACCCTGCTGGGGCCGGGTTTATGTCACCCGATAAGCCTATTTCGGCACCTCACCTGCGTTCTGGTCCCGCATCGGTCTGGCCTCTGGCTCAGCGCAGGCACGCCGAGCATCATCACCCGTTCAATTCGGGTCCTGCGTCGGATCCGCATTCACGCAGCTCAGGTGTGTGTTCCATGCGTCAGTCTGCTTGAGTTTGTGGCCTTCTTCTAGAACCTAGCAATGCCAATCGTCCGCTGCGCCTTGGCCGGAAATCGGCCTCCGCGCAAGGGGTAAGTTTTCGGCCGCTCGGAATCAGAAGTGACTCTCTTCTAAGTATAGTTACGGGAAAACTCCTTGACGAAAATAAATGAAACTCTGCAATCAACCAGAGGAAAGGTTAAACTAACGACATTCCAGCGTACAATCCCGAACGATTACTAGAACCGGAGATATTGCCGTGTTTGTGCGAATTTCCTCTGCGGTTGGAAAACTAAGCGGAGCTGCGGGTTGATCGCCGACCACACAAGCGCCCCACATGTCTTCTTTACACTTTATTGCTGCTGTAAAATTTCAGATCTCTGCGTTTAGTAGATTTTCCGTACCAACTTAAAATTACCACCCATCCATTGATAAAACACTAGATCTGGAAGCTTGATCGCGCATTCCAAACGCAAGGTGCCGCATGCAAGAGGCGCGTGATCGCTAGGCGGCATGTGATTGGCTGCCTATAACCAAATGGGTCACCGATGACTACATCGCGGGTTTTCCCGATAGCGCTTTACTGAGTTTCAGTCTTTAAGATCCAAAGTAATGAAGACATAGAAAAAGTGGTAGTAGAACTAGATTCTGCACTAAAAACCCCAAGGAGATGCCAAGTTTCATTCATATATATATGCTCCAATTCATTACTGACTTATGAACAGTTTTTCCTCAAAATACATCAAAACATGTCCCACATTTTGGCGATTTTTTCCTATATGAGCAATTGCCAAAACGTGAGACTCTTGAGACTCAGTGGTGCAAAAAAATTTTCATACCAATTTGACTCTCTTTTCTGTCAGCACAGATTGACATTTAGTGCTCATATCCTAGAGTATCAGAGCAATGAGATGTAGGGTTTTGGAGATATATGGGTCTATTGGTTTGGCAACTACTGTATTTCTTGTATGTAACAGTGATGACAAAAACAGATAAGCAGCAAGGCAAATTATAGACTTTAAATTCCATTTGTTTAGTAAACAAACACTTTGTACACTATGAACTCCATTCATAATGGTATGAATGGCAAGCTTTGTAACAATGACGCAGTGCACAGAACATGTCATCATTGTTATGTACAAGAAAGGATACACATTGGACATTATCATTGACAACGCATCACAATAGTGAAAGGCTGTACAAATACAGTTATCAAAGCCTCAGTACCAGAAAAACACATGTGTAAAACAATTTTTAAACTAATATGAGGCAAAAGCACAAAATCAATGGAGCTGACTTGTACATAACAGTGATGACAAACATGGCTTGTACGTAACAATGATGACACAATGTACAGGAAAAGACAAAAGTATTGCCTCCAGAGATAAAAGCGCACTTTAAGAATTTAAAAAAAAACAGGAGAGGTTTCTTTTGCTTTGAAACAGATACCGGGTCATATCAAAGACAGTGGACGATCACAATTATGTTGCTAATTATGACAAACAGTACTCGTACATAACAGTGATGACAAAACATACTGGGAAAAGGTAAAATCATGCCTACAAAGAACAAATTTGCACCAAGATACACAGATCAATAAAGGCGTACTTTGCTTCTAAATGAATCTTGCATGTATGAAATATATGTTGAAAACTTATTGATATTAGCAATTATGAAAAATATTACTTGTACATAACAATGATGACACAATGTATTGGAAAAAGGTATATCATACCAACAAAGAACAAATGTGTATTTTTGAGTTAGACAGATAAACAAGGACATGTTTGTTTATTTGTTTGAGTAAAGAGAGCACACATTACTTTTAAAATGTTTGCTCTTAGGACAATGTAATTTCTTGTACGTTAGTCAGTCTTGTACGGCTGCATGACGACACCCGAAACGTCATCACTGAGCTCAAAAGCTAAATCTATAACCACAGAAATGATCCATCTCTCGAAGTTTGTTCACACATCACACTCTTGTTCCAGGAATCCAGTGTAAACACCAAAAATATTCAACAGAGTAGCCTAAAAACACGCAAAACAGCCCAGTACGTCACATTCAACTCAAAATTCTTGTGCGTCACCGGACGCTGAAGGCAATGACTACTTTCGTTTTTCTGTTTTCCCCGTTGCTTCCGTTGTTCTGGGGACGCGGGTAAGGGGAAGTCACTTAAGAAAACAATTATATCCGGGCACTTTTGATGACCCGTTCAAAACAAAAGTGGGTGAAATTCGGACTTACGGCACGTCGCAAGTTGACGACAATAACGGCGAATGTTAAACAGCCGACCGAAATCGTAGATCTAGGAACCCGATGTTCCTTTCGCGCATCGCGGCTTTTGAAGTATTGGATAAACGACGATAGGCAAAGAGATTTAACCAGCTACGGTGATTCTACTGAAAAATAATGGTGTTTTCTGAAACACCTAGTCCGTGACAACATGACAGACGCACAAGTAATCCGAATTGTTCGTCTATGTGCAAACAAATGAACCGATTTCTTGAGCAAGTTAACCTTTCTCAATGACAAATAACATAGGATCAAAGCACACGTAAAAAAAACCCACCCGAAAATACTAAATTTTGGACATTCTTGGAAGTTTGCATTGGTGTGCTCAAAATGACACTCCAGGAATCACTAAAAAACTAACATTTTTGGCACAAAATTTACAAACTCAAGATTGTTAAGCTGACAAGGGGTCTGAAACTGCTAATGCAGGTTCTACATCCTATATTTGACGTGTGTATAAGTTTTGGAGGAATAAATACTAATGCATCACATTTTATGCACACTATTGTGAGATGTGTGTGTTTTTCTCCACGTTTTGGCAATGGCTCATATGAAGGTCCTCCAACATTTTGCAAACAAAAATCCCAATAACTTTTTTATTTATCAATGGATTTTTAAAATTTAAAAACCATAGTTCTCAGAATTTACTCTATTTTCATTTAAGCCCATTTTTAAGCAATTTGGATGAAAATTTAATTTTTCATTGTCATTGTTATAGAACCGCCTGGGTTGGTTGGTAACCGAGGCATACGTCTCATTCAAAACATGCCAAGTTGGTAGCTCTAGATGTTCGTCCAATGAAATTATAGCTAACAAATTGACCCACTTAGACACAAGGAGCTCGAAAGGATAGTCAGGAAACAAGACTTCCTTAATTTTATTTAAAAAACGGAGTGCTTATTGGCCCACAGGGGCTTATAAAATTTCCCCTAGGCAGAGATGCCAACCAGTACGATTTTACGTATTTTAGTACGATTTTTTACCGAAAATACGCGAATACGACTTTCCATGAAAAAATACGCATCCTGGAATCCGAAAAATACGAGATCCAGTTTGGGCGAGTAAACCTAATTATCTCAAGTCCCATCTTTTGTCAAAATAGTATCAGTATCGCGGAACTGGAATATTTGAAAACTAAGTGAGATAAGGTCAGTAAGTTCAATGTTGCCGATCGCGATTGTGATATTAGATTCTATATATTTAGCAATGCCCACCGAGCGCGTTTTGTTCTGCCGATTTTTGGCCCCCGCGGCGGGGGTGTTTCGTGGGACGCACTAACGCAAAGGTTGTTGTCTTCAACTTGCTCTCACGCCGCTTCTCATGAATGGATATGAATGAAACTTGGCAGCTAATCAGAAAAGAGGTCAATCTCGCAGTATGCAGTTTGACATTGTACCCATCCTAGAAGCAGTCGAAAACGTTTGCGAAAGTGGTTGATGTGGTGCGCTTTGAAGATTTTTCGGAGCTGTGATTTGTCAAACCGACTGATACGTTGTACACCATTTTTCTTTATTCCCTTAAAATTTCAAGCTTCTGTGTTTAGCGGGTTTTCGTGTAATCTTTAAAAATGTGGGAGTAACTAAGGGAAAAAGCGACATTGCCATTTGCGTGTACTGGGTGAATGACCTGCGGCTGGGAAATTTCCACTGAGTGACGTCATCAGCCATCGGTCGCCTCGGGCACTACAAACGAGGCCCCACTTATGTGAACCGGAAATGGGGGGAAGGATACTTGAAAACTAAACGGGGGCCTTGATAACTTGCGTTTTTGTTGCATTTTAGTCACAATACAATAGATGTAGTCATTTTTATTTGCTTGATTGCATGGCAGAAGAATAGAAACAGAAAAGCAAACATCTTGAGAAGTGGTATGGCATTGTGTTTGCATTATATGAAAGCCTATTTCCCCCTCTTGGGAAAGCACACACTTGGACTCGTCCTGTGTGCTCTGTTTGGAAAAGTGAGGCATTAAGATTGTTATTAAAGAGTATGGTACTTATTTAGTCCAGTCTGGGAAGATAGTCCCGTTTATACATTGTTATCGTTCACGCGTGAGTGCGTGCGCGCGCGTGCATGTGTGTGTGTGCGCGCGTGAGAGAGAGAAGGGGGGGGGGTGTAAATATGTTACATTTATTGTATGATGAGTTGTAGCCTACACATGCGAAATATTCCCATGACTTGTAAACTATATTATCTGAACGCATCTTAATCTACCACACAATAGGACACTGTCCAACAATGGATATACACAGAGACGATCTTATTTTCTATAACAAAGTATGCATGCTTTTACTAGTACAGAACTGGATTTGTTAGTAGCTCTCTACTTACATTTTTGTGACAAATTGATCCAGAGCATTGCTTGGCAAGGAGGAACCTTTTATGTTGCCAAGTTTCATTCAAATATCATGACTTTGGGAGAACATATGACTGATAATCTTTGTAAATCTGTAAAGAACGCCATTTTTTTACCTGTTAATGTCTTTACAACTCAAAAAGTATGACAGATATTAAAAATCTGACTGCATGACTAGATTCTGCATTAAAAAATGTACTAGACTGCCAAGTTTCATTTACATATTCCAAGAAATAGGCGAGGTATGACAAATATTGTCTCAAAACGCACCGAAAACCGCCACATTTTTACCTATATAAACGTCTTCATAACTCAAAAAATAGGATAGCTATGAAAAATCTGAAAGCAGGACTAGATTCTGCACTAGAAAATGTACTGGGTTGCCAAGTTTCTTTTAAGTACTCCGAGAAATGAGCGAGTTATGACGAATATTGTCTCAAAACTCACCAAAGAACGTCCCATATTTTGGGGTTTTTTCATTATATAAAAGTGTACCAGAAATTAATTGATTAAAAAATCCGTAACGTTTTTGTTTATTGATGGATTTCAAAAAGTTCCATGCTCTGTGAAGATAAAGCTACAAAATGCACCTATTTGATTAACACTTTCTGGCAAAAAAAAGGATTTTCGTGGTCATTGCTAATATATTCCTTTAGCTTTTCCTCCTCTGAGAGTACGTTTCACTTTCACGCGAACAGGTCAGCTTCCTGTCGCAGCTGTCTGGGCTGACTTAATTTTTGGTACTTTTCAACGTAAAGTTTTACTTTAGGTGTTCCTTGTATTTATAGTTATTATCATTTAATGCACCCTAGGTATGCATTATATTTCTGCTCTTGAGACTAAAAAAGGAACGGACGTTGTAACTTATCTTGTTATTTCGTTACACGCGCTGGAGTTGGAAGTGCTAAATTGTAAAAATTGTTGGTAATGTGTGAATGAAAAAAATCAATGTAAAAAAAACGGATCAGCAAAAACTGTTGAACCTTTGGAACATGAACGACATAACATTGGTGCAGATACTCAGAAAAGATTTTATATCTGTGCATTTAATAGAAAAGCTGTAATTTTGCTACTTTATCCATCTGGCACACAATTCGCTATGAAGTAATTCCTCCAAATACAGCTTTATGTGTCTAATATAATCATGAATATTCTACATATATTTTCCCGAAAGTTTCTTAAAATTACCATGGCGAGCTGCTGAGTCTCGCAAACTAAAAGTAACAGAATCTGGCGAAAAGTGACGCCGTGTGCCATGGATGACATAGCCTATTAAAGGCAATGGGTGTCATTATTCTTTCTCCCCCCCCCCCCCCAATCTGGTCATTATTTCTCCACCCCCACCCCAATGCTCTGCATTGGATGTTCCTTTGCTTGCAACATTTTAGTTCTGTTTGTGCATTTATTTATTTTGTCCCTTTTGTTTCTACAGGCACAGTTGACAAAGGTGTTGTTGAAGTAACAAATTGCTTCGCCGTACCTCATAATGAGTCAGATGATGAGGTAATTTTATGTTGAATGTTGTACGTATAAGTATTTAATTTACTTTTTTTTTTTTTAAAGAGGAATGCCTTAACACTACACCACAGGTTCAGTTTGTATCAGAAGTGTACTAAATGGCTTTTTTATTGTTCGTGGTCTTAAATTTTTGGTAGGTGGTTGGCGGGTGCTCTGCTGTGGTTTGCTTCTTCTTTCCTATAAAAAATCTATCGTCCTTATCTTTCCTTCTTCTTTTTTATGTTTGTTACTCTTTTGTAACACCTCTAATTTTCTGGCGCTCATATGACCTTATGCAGTTGCAAGCGCAGTAAAACCTCTGCTAAGACAAACAAGTTTTTGCGCTGAATGCTCTCGATGATAAGAGAAAAGTTAAGAAAATGTTGGGTTTTTTTTCAATCTTTTACTTTCCGTGATTTGCTGTTTCATGTTTTTATTGTTGCACCCTAGTTGTTAGTTAAGTTTATGTCAGATGGAAGTTTTCCATTAGTGACCCAAATATTTTCTTGTTCCCAGCTGTAGTGGCAACGCACCTCAAAGACAAGTTACAGATTTGAAATTTTATAGTCTAAACTGGTGATATAAAAAAGAGTTAACTTGTATTTACATATCAACCTTTGGATTCTCAGGTTTTCTTGTTGGTCTTGAGAAGATTGCCTCAGCGGTGGAGAGTTATCAATTACCATGGTACCGCCCTGATATTAGATTTTTAATTTTTAATTTTATTTTTAAGGGGTGGGGGAGAGGGGTGTTGTTTCTTTTATAGGGAGATACAATGCTCACTAGTTTTGATTTCTTTCCTTTTTATTTAATTAATGATTCAATTGTCACTGTGAAAATGTGTTTTTTATTGTGGCGTAGTGAGATATTTTTTTTCCTGGCTTGGGAGGACAGATTGGAACATCATGAGTAAGTTTTCCTAATGTGTTTGTGTCAACAGGTGGCTGTTGATATTGAGTATGCACGGAACATGTTTGAGCTACACAAGAAAGTCAACAGTAATGAGGCCATAGTTGGGTGGTAAGTTGATGATCTATTATTACAATGAAATGTCTGCGAATCAAAACACTGAAATTAGTACTTGGCAATGTATGCTCTGTTCTGCTGTTTACTTTTTGTTTTATAATAACTGATGTGGAGATTCTGATTTTGTTACATTGTTACCATCTGTTTAATTCATTACTGAGTAACTGCTTTATTCTTTTGCCTTGCATCAAATATAGTCCAAATTGTCTTAGACAGGTGGACATCTTGGACAATTTTGACTCCTTCACAGGGAATAGGACTAAATAGGAGGTTTGCATAAAAAGGGGAGTCTATTCCACAATAACTTGGGAATGTTTCATTTGTGACTGCACTGTTTCTCACAGAATCAATTGTCAGTCTGCTTAAGTTGGTCTTGCTATATATACAGGCCTGCCACTCATCCCGATTTAATCGGGATACCCCGATTTTTTTTTATCCTCAAATCCCAAGCATCCCGGTTTTCTCAATTTGGATCGCGTGCATCCCTTTTTTTTGTGTGTGTGTGTGTGTTATCTGTTGAGCTGGATTTTTTTTTTAAACTTACCCTTCCTTCTTCGTTGTTGCCGGAAGCACCCGTTAAACTTTTTGTCAGCAGGAACTCAGAGCACTATTTTCCTAAATATAGGTGCCGGGTTTTGTCGTTGACTCGCCCCAAGTTGTATTGGATCTTTGCTTGCACATGTTATTTCAAAGGCATTCCGACTTGGGGTATTCTCAAGATCTACTTTCACTTTTGTTTCCACTCAGAATTCTCAGCCTGATAACAAATGTTCAAAACCATTCATAGTCCTGCTGTTAATTTCAAAACAAGCTTTGTCAAAGTTCTTGTTAGTTGGGCCCACCGCCAAGACCCGTCAGTAAAACTGTTTCGATCGTGTGTTCGCATCACCTGACTTTTGCTGTGATTTTCGTGTGTGTCTGGGTCGACGGCGACTTAATTTCATGCACACTAGTTTGAAGCGTCTTTCGAGACTAACGGGGGGGTGGGGGGGGGTGTGAGACACTTCAGCTGGGATTACTTCACGTGATACTTCAGGATTTAAAAAAAAACAATAACATGCAGGTTCGCGCGCACACAAACACATACTCAGAGGGCATATGCACGGATATATTTATGGACAGCCCTGGACAATTTTAGTCACCTATGTGATTTGTCTTTGATCCTGATTTTTTTTTCCCCTGAGATCCTGATTTTTAGATTTCGTAGAGTGGCAGGTCTGATATAAATCATATTGTAGATGTTGACTTTTTCAACATGTACTGTTTCTTGCATCAGGGTGTCCAGCAAGGCGCCCTGGTCGTAAAGAGTAGTAAATTTGCCTTGGAGGTAGTAAACATTTGGTAAACGATCGTAAATTAGTCTTCCTACTGAGTGATAAAGCCAGCAAGACTTTTCAGTGAACCCTAGCTGTGGTATATGATTCCGATTTTGCTGGTCGCGATTGTGATATAATATTCGTTCACCTTTTCCCCATCTCAGAGTACGTTTGATTCGAAAAGGCGGCTATGGCGGCAGGCAGAAGTGTATGTGACACGGAGGCTCGATCGGGAAAATCAAGATCTACTTTCACTTTCGTTACCACCAAAAAATTTGCCGGCGATAGACTGATAACGCAAAATTTGTGACATGCAGGTTGTGCAGTATAAATGCTGTGTCGGCGTGCAAATAAAAACCTTTGCGCGAGGATATACAAGATGCGGTATCGGTGAGCACCGGTGTTTGTTGGGGTTGCCAAAGTTCATTAAGAAGTCTGAGCGTTGCGAAGTGTAGTACTACAGAATAGGGCGCGGATTATTGATTATTATTTTTTTTAGGGATACACAGGGGGGGGGGGCGCTAAAGGCAACACCAGAGGACAAAAACTTGTAAGCAAATTTCAGAATTTTTATTAGATTTAGAGCCCTCTGCAAAGCGCGCGTTGGTGCAAGCCTTATGTGGAATCGGGATCCTTCATGCCTTGTAAGCCGTGTCATTGAAATAACGTGTTCGCGTTTCATTGGTTGGGTGATTGTAAATTCGAACAATATTGTAGCTTTCTGTTCAAGACAGGCAGATTTTCAGTGTCACTGCCTTTTGCCCTCCTACAGTTCTTACTCATCTCACACTGAATATGTCTACTTGAGCCAATCAAGTTATTGCACAATTTTTAGTTTAAGCAATAATTTTTGTCTTTCATGTTCATAATATGTGTCATGACACCCAGACTGGTTCTTGACTGTAGAAATTCTTGTTTAAGGCCCCTCCCAACGCTCAAAGCTGGATTCATTTATATATATATATATATATATATATATATATAATGAGAAAATATTATAACAGACTGAAATACTTAAGTCAAACAAGACCCCAGTGCGACACTGACATGTTGTTGACTGGATTTATTTTGCGTGTGTGTGTATGTTGTTGTTATGTAACATGCCCCTGGAAAATTGAGAAGCCGGTTTGGCAGTCACCCTGTGTGTACACGTTAAGTCTAAATCTACCCCCCCCCCCCCCCCCACCACCTCCAGAGCAGTGCTACTGACTGAAGCGTCTTTAGGCCATTCCCAAAGGGAGGATATTAACATGTTCTCATGCACAGTAGAATTGTAAATGGGCTGATTTATCAATGTCATGCTGATACTGTGCTGGACCAACATAGGGGGAACTGCTGCTTTTTCTGTCCTCTTCTTTTCAATCATCGTTTTCCTCTACTTCTTTTGTATGTTTGCGCTCTTGTGAACTACTATTTCCGGGGTGCCTTGATAGTCGAAGCTTCATTCCCCGTTTGGACTTCTCTGTTGACATCCACCCCTTGTCGCTCATATGACCTATGTAGTTGCAAGCGCCGTAAAAACCTTACTGAAACTACATCTAGCGGCAACTAAGCTTGCTATCGTCTATCTTTCCTCCATTTTGTCGACTGGATTTTGTTGTGTGTTGTTTTCGATCCATATATTATGTAATAATAATATATGTTAATTGATGGCGCAAATGAGCTCCCTTTTTTCGGGCTGGTGTGGAGCTTTATTTGCTCGGAAGTAAAAAAAATTTCCAGATAGCAAATTTTTTCAGGAAATATTGCTGGTCACCTTGTAGCATTGCATATTCCATTTGTCATATCCCTTTATTTGGGTACATGAAGCTCATTTTATCCTCAAATGGGGGGAAGGGGTTTACTTTTTTCCTCTGTGTCACGCAACTGAAAAAACTTTTGTTTGCTTGCTAATAATAATAAACTACGAACACATGAAAGGCATGTCTAAGATGATGTGGGTTTGTTGTTGTTTTTTTCTTCCAGGTTTTCAACAGGCTGGGAAGTGTCTGTGCATTCTGTCCTCATCCATGACTACTACTCCAGGGAAACCAAAAACCCTGTCCATCTCACTGTTGACACCATTATGCGTGGTGGGAAAATGTCAATCAAAGGCTATCACAGGTAGGCCCTACTTAGAATTAGAATTTTTTTCTTGGAATTTAATTTTCTAAAGTTTTGCTCTAGTACAGTGGAGCTTTGATTCAACGAGGGCGCCAGGCCTGACCTAAAATCTCTTTGAATCCGAGTGTTCGTTATAGCAAACACGAGGTTTTTTGTAGATAATTACAGGCACTGAGCAAAAAATGTATAAAGAGAAGTCACAAGTAGTGCCTGAAATGCCTGCATATTATGAGCCATGTAAAAAAAAAGACAGATTCGTTCGAATACACACACCAGTGGCATCTCGATTGTTTAACAAAAATTTGTGTTGCTGTGTAGAGCCTAGCATACGGCAACTTTTGATTCCATAGACCAGTTCACAATTCATTACGTAGATTTACGTCAAGACTAGCTTATCATTGTATTAATGATCAGTTGCCGAGGGGGTAAAAGACTGACGCCTAAGTATCTGCGACGTTCAACACCCGGACCACTAGAGCCCCCCTCCCCGACACACGCACACAGCCACACGTGTGCAGGTCGCCCATCCGACCCCGACACACACTAGAGAAGACACGTGCGCGTGCCAACACCGCATGTGTTGGTATGAAGAAAAAAGGCCGCTGATTGGTCGCATGCAATCGGCTAAGTGAATAATGGTTCACGGTGCAGTTGCAATGGATGGTTTCCGGGAATAGATAAAGTTCATTGTGGGAGAAAAATGAAGGAAGCCGCGTCTGCGGGGGTGTTCACCCAGGAAGCAACCTCGTTGAATCCGAGCTCGCTCCTTTAAGTGCTCGTTGAATCCGCATTATTTTTATTAATTTTAAAGAAGAAAAAAAACGGGGAATCTATCTCATCTCGTTGAATCTGAGTTCCACTGTATCAGGATCTCAGATAAGTTTTATCCATGTTCAGTTATTATCTACAGATAAGATAGACCTTTATCTCCACAAATATGTACTGTGTATTGTTTTATGGTCTGCGTTGACAGCGAAAGATCTTGTCAGTTTGTTAGCGTTTTAGCATAAGTAATCGGCAGTATTATTGTTACAAGTGTTTCTTTTTTTTCTTTTTTTTTTTGGACTGTTTTGAAAGGTCGTTGTAAGCTGCAGACAGATCTTTTGCCTGTATAATTTAACCAGCACACTGTAGTGACTTGCAGTTTGCAACTCACAACCTCATGGTCAGAAATGATAAATGTCATGGCTGCCAAAAAAAAATTTGTACCTGGTGTTTGTTTGTTTTTTTGTGGGTTTTTTTTTGTTCCCTCAGCAAAGTTGGATGGAACGAGGTTAATCCTTTTGAAAGGGGGGGGGGTCAATTTGTATGATCAAATATTTTCTAAATGCTTGAGCTTCCATGATGATACGGTTAGCTATAAGATGTCTTTATTTCTTGACTTTCAGTTGTCTCATTTGTTGTTTTTTTGCTCTACTTGGGTTTCAGCACTTTGATAGGAGTTCCTGGCAAGACTACAGGAACCATGTTCACTCCAGTGCAGGTGGAAACAATCACATATGATCCAGAACAGGTTGGAGGTATGCTGTAAAATTTCAGCTCTTGTCATCACATAAAAATGTATCCACACCTGCCAAGTACTCTGATAAAATAGAAGCCCTCCAATATTTATTTCCCATTGAAGAGCCCGTAACAGATTTGCATTCAAGCCGATTGTGTTTCCAGGGTAATATGTGACTTACTGTAAATGACATGCAAATGCGCATTTTATTTTGCGTATTTGTACAGCTCATGGTAGGCGACTTGAAAATACCATATTTATCTGCGTATACAGTCGAACCTGCCCTGACGGCCACCTGTACAGACGGACACTTTCCATTTCCCCCCCTTCCGTTTTTTCTATATAATTTAACTGTAAAACAGGCACTTGTACAACGCGGCCGCGGCCACCATATTTCAACACACAACCCCTATCACACAAAGCAATAACACCAGTCTTAGGCGGCCACCTTAGTGACTCCATTACGCTTTGTCATAAATCGAGTATTGGCCCCTGGCGTTGTGGGCAAGCCATCATAATCTAAAAATTTTTAGTTGTTAGGTAGTCCCTCCAACTGGTCATGTTGCGTTAGCCCCTCCCACTGTTGACCAATCTGTAACAAAATTAATTTTCAGCTGCTGGGGAGGGAAGCGTGTGATCCCTGATAACCCTTAAGCCCCGTCCAGAACCCCTACACAAATCGCAAGTGAGATGAGTGGTCACTGTTTACCCAGTCTGTAACAAAGTAACAATGGACATCAGCATGAACTTGTGACAGAAGCGTCGCTTGTTCTCTGAGTGGTAGTACGTGTGTTTGTTTTACCATAGCACTTGGTCCTCCTTGTCTGACGCATTTCGTTTTATTGTCACCCATATACAAAAGCAGCAACAAAAGAAAAGAAAACCTAGCGAAAACAACAACAATGCAACTACCTTCGGTTGGGACCTCAGATTCTCAGAAAGGAATGGTTTGTTTTCTTCATCTTGATCAGTCCTGCCTAAGACGGCCACCTGTCTTATACGGCCACTTTTCTCCTTGACAATGGATGGCCGTCTTACACAGGTTCGACTGTATTTGCAATGCACATTTAATTGCCACAGTCGGCTCATTAAGTACTGTTGATCTTTTGGGGTATTTTTGTGGATAGAGTATGGAGTGGTTCGCAGGTCTTTGTGTGGATTTTTGTATTTTTAACATTTATCCACTGATTATTGACTTTTTTTTTTTTTTTTTTTTTTGGATCTTATTGTAAATCTGATTGCTTTGATGTGTTTTGAAAAATATTATCTAATAGATTATGTCTGGAATTTTTGTAACAATTTAGTCAAGTGTGTTCTGTACGGTATGTATAGTGTATAGTTTGTGCATTCGATTTAAAGTCATCAGGTGAATTTATTCCTTCCATTTAGTTGAGACTCTGCAGAAAGGCAAATACAACCAGAAGCGTATTGTTCAGCTGAAGTCAGATCTGAAACAAGTAGAGACCTCCTCCCATTGGCTGAGGGAAATGCTGGCTCATGTCACTCAGTATGTGGATGATGTGCTGGTGAGTGGTCTTTGGTCATGAATGTAAGTGGGGGGGGGGGGGGGGGGTTGATTGATGCAAGACAGTGATTTGTGGGAAAAAAATGTCTGCATACTACTTGCAGTGGTATGCATTTTTTGTGGTTGGTGGTTGCCTTTTGTTTTCTGGATAGTTTTCAGAAGTGCCAGTTATCTGGAAATCTGAAATTGTCTGGATTTAGCTTGAATTCTCTATTCATGGTACAATCAAAACGTCCAAGACGCCACCCGTTGTCGAGGGAAAAAATGGTTTGTCTTACACAGGTGAAGGTCTTGAAAAGTGTCATTATAGTACAAAATAAGCAAAAGGGGTAAGGGGTGGGAGAAGGTTATTTGTACAGGTAATTGTTTTTGACAGGTGGCTGTAAGAGCACAATATAATCACGTTCAGTGTCCATAAAGATTAGGATTTTTTTTTTTCCTGCGGCTAATCAGCACTTGTGCCTGAGCACTAAATTCCAGTTGCCTCTTTTCTCTTTTCTGGTCTTACTGAAATTGTTATAGTAGAGTCAAATACTTTATTGGGGGGGGGGGGGGGGTAGTTGAAATATACAAAATTGCCACAGCTCTGTGTCTTGGTTTTTCTCTGCAGGTGCCTTTGAAGGCAAATTTGATATCCCTTGTAGTCATATTGCAGTACACAGGGTTCCCGCAGCCTCCTTGAATTCAAGGAGTCCTTGAAAACTCCTTGAATTTTCATTCAAGGAAAACTCTCCTTGAAAACTCCTTGAATTTTGCCAGATCGGAAAGAGGGTGACTGCCAGGCCCAGGGGCCGCCGGGAATTACCAGGAAATTAGAAAAAAAAATCGCAGAGACCCGGGAATGCCCGGGGAAGTTGAAGAAATCTCTGTAAATTGCCCCCACAAAGACCCGTGAAAATATATACATTTCTCGAATACTTGAAAACCGAATCCGATAACGTCCTTGAGTTCATTTTTGCCGGTCGCGATTGTGATATGACTTTTCCCGGCCTGAGAGTATGTTACACGCAAACAGGCGGCTATGGCGGCAAGCGGAAGGGTATGAGTGATGGACCCTCTACCGAAGCTCGATCGAGAAAATCAAGATCTACTTTCGCTTTCGTTACCACCCAGAAATTTGCCGGTAGTAGTCTGATAATAGTGATAACGTAACATTTGTAACATGCTGGTTGTGCATTACAAACACTTTGTCACCGTGAAAATAAATCATTTGCCCTGTGCTGTCACTTGTGGAAAAAAAAGATCGAAAGAAAAAGAAAGTTATACAAGCTTCTTGTAGGGCTCGCCTTCATGACCGGTCATTGAACCTGTTCGTTCGCATCACATCGTGAGTATCGGCATGAGGTCACCAAAGTTCATGCAAAGTCTGAGCGCTGTGAAGTATAGTACTCGGGAATGGGGGGATTTTTTTTATTTTTTTTAAAGACGCACACTGGGGAGGGGGGATGGGGTTGAAAGCAACACCGTATGACAATAAAACTGAACTTGGAAGCAGATTTTACTTTTCTGAATTTTGACTACTACTAGATCTAGGTACCACAAATCCAAATTTCAAAGTGCTTTGATCAAACTTATGTTTGTTGCATCATAAAGAACTATGCAAACCATGAACTTTGGTGTTTGAATTATAGAAATCGGACAATAAATAAAAAAATGACAGGCGTTTGAAATTCGTGGACGTCGTAAATTTTTGGCAACTTTAAAATCACGTTAATAAGTGCGATTTTGTGAGTTCACAGAAAATATATTCAGGTACATAAAGT